GACAGGACTCATGTGCCAGCACCAAGTCCTGGGAGGCGCAGGCCCAGGCAGAGACCATCAGGGACATCCCGCAGGCGAAACCGCTCCCGCCTGCAACGTCAGACCCCAGATCCATCCGGCCGGTCCAGAAGCCGCCGTGACAGAAACTGTGTGAGAGCACCAAGTGCTGGGAGCCGCATCCCCAGCCAGGAAGCATCAGGGACATCCCGCAGGCGAAACCGCTCCCGCCTGCAACGTCCGACCCCAAATCCATCCAACCGGTCCAGAAGTCCCCATGGCAGGACCTGCACGCCAGCACCGAGTGCTGGGAGGCGAAACCCAAGGGAGACAGCAGCCAGGACTTCCCAAAGGCAACACCACTCCCACCAGCAGCGTCAGACGCTGAACTCATCCAGCAGATCCAGAAGTCGCCATGACAGGAGCCGTGTTAGAGCACCAGGTGCTGCCAGGAGCACTCACCGGTGGGACGGTGAGACAGGGACCCACCGCTGACACGTCCCATGTCACACAGGGAGGAGCAGCCCCCAAAGGGAGAGAGCCAGGTGAGAGCAAAGTGCCCCTCCCGCAGCCTGGCAGAGGGGCTGTCAGGACGGACAGTACAGGTGCCATGCCCGGGGCCATTGTCTCTCTCTCTCCAGCATGCCTGCTGTGTCAGCCTTCAGAGGCCGACCCGGACATCTGTGGGGAGAAAAACTTCAGATAAATGGGCTCTGTGTCCACGAGTTCTGCCTGGTGAGTTGCTCCGTGGGCTCCCTCCATTTTTTGACAGGCAGTCCCTGCCACTCTCTCCTCATTAGTGAGTCTCATTTTTTCCACAGTTTTTTGCCAGCCACCTTCCTCAGCACAATGATGGTCAAGTAGGACTCTTTGGCTTTCTCCCAAGGGATATCCTAGACGTAGTTTCCTGGGTGGTACAGAAGGTGAGAGCCTGACAAGAGCAGGGAGAATTGTGCCAGGCAGGGTTTGCTGAAGGTTAGTTCAGACCCCAAGCAAGAAAGCCCAGCCCTTCCAAGCAGCTCTGGGAGAAGGAGGAGG